GATTAGTGATTTAATTTCTGTATCCAAGTTTGATTGGTCACGTGACTTGTGCTTTAGTAGATGAAGAATTAATATTCTTAATGTAGAGGAATCCCTAAATGATGGTAACAAGAACTCAGCGATCACTCTTGATGAATTCGTGCAACTTAAGTTAATTCCAAGTCTTTATTTTGGGGAGAGTATCCAGTTAAGTTCTTGATATAGAGAAGATGTCTATTTACTGAACCACCTTCTCTTAACTGGTTGGTATCATTTCAAATTGGGAATCCTTTTGTATACTTTTTCGATTTCGTCTTTAAGTTTCTGAGTTATGAGTGTAAGGAAAAAGACTGGTGTGGTGGTATTTATAAGGGAGGTCAATGGTAGAAATGTGTTGGAGATAACATGGGATTTAAACTCAATGGAAAAGGCCTTTTATGCTATGGTGAAGCTGTTGAGGAAAAGATGTTTCCGGATCCGAAGTTGGAGAGGAGATCCGAAGTTAGAGAGGAGAAAGTCTTTTTCTACCTACTTTGATATTGGTTTTTGAGTTGCATCTTTTTGTCTGTTTTTGAAATTTATATGATTTTTGCATCTTTGATTCTCGATTTGTAATAATTCAAAGATTTATTTTAAAGCAGATTCGACCCACTACTACAAATTACAACTAAAGGATCCAAGCAGAGGAAATAACTTGTACAAATAGCAAAAGAGTTACTCTTTGTGAAGAGAGATGAATTTCGTTAAAATTCAGCTAAAAAGTCTAATGAGAGAGTTGATTCAAGTCTAGCTATTTACACAAGATTCATTAAAAAATTATTTACAATTAACATTTCACAGTATCTTTGAGTCATCTTCTTCAAAATCTAAATCAAGCTTTCCCATGACCATGCCTACTCAATCACCATCAGGGATATAAGGTTTGTGGTAACTTTTTTTTTTTCCTTCTTCACTAGGAACTTTACATAATATCAAAATGATTACAAAGAGTGTATGTGAAGACAAAAGAAAAAATACGAGAGAAGTAATAAACTACGAATCTCTATAGTTGTTGCTCCTCGGACAAAATCCAGACTAAACTCACCTCCTCTTTTTTTTGTTTTTTCTTTAAACCAATCAGCTCACAATGTGAAAACTAAAGCATCATCAAGCTTTACACATACATGGAGTGAGAGGATTTTCCCAAAGATCATAATTAGGGAAAGTTTCTTCAGGCAAACCGGTTCGTGTTTGATGGGTTACAACTACATCTTCCACAAATGTTGCCCATCCCATGTAAGGATCCCCAAATGATTTCGACATTAACCCTTTATCCGGCTTGATTGATTTCTGGCGATGACCCATATATCTCCGTGCTCCAATGATCAGTTTTGCAAAGTTTCCACCATGTGTCATCACAAACACATCTGACTTCAAGCAGACTAAGAAATCTAGAGCCGCAAGGCTTGTTACGTGCTTTCTAAAGCTTGCTAGTTCCTCTTTTCCTGCTAAATCCTCCTTTGTTACCTAGTTAAAAGGACAAATGTTGTGAGACAAGCATGCTGGTTGTTTAAAAAGGAAAATTTTGAGAGACTACGCCTTGTTGATTCAAAGAATTTGATGAGATAGGATCTGGTGTTCTTACCAAATTTGGGAACATGTTTCTTAGTGGAGCCATACGATTTTGGCCGCCATAGACTTGACCAGATGCTACATAAATTTGTGTTTCTTTTGGATAGCCCATTGCACGTAGTATCACAGCAACTTCTCCAGGCTCAAGAGGGCATCGGCCTTCTTTGCGCTTTTGCAAGGCAAGTTGCCAGAGATGGGAACCATTCTGTAATACAAGTCAAGCAAATTCATTAAGGCAACGGTTGAGGTTGTCTAGGGACCAAATTGAAGTTATCAACCACTGATAAAATGTCACCTTGAATCGCCGAGGCCATTCCTTCTGTCTGTATTCTGCCATTCTAGCTTTCTCTTCCCTAGTTCCCACAAAATCACAGAACGATAGACCAACCATTCCTTTCTCAAATCTAAGATGAAGAGCCCTATACAAGAGAGACATATATAGCTTTGAGTCGAAATAATGCATTAGGTACTTAGTTAAAATGAAGTTCGAGAAGTATGATATCTCCATACATATACTGATTCGGATTTCCAGTGCGATTTCTCATTCTAGAAACAAGTGAATCAGCCATCTGCTCTATCTCTGGGAGAAATTTGAGAGCATGATAATTTACTCGGCATCGTAATCTGTTGATTTCTTGAGGTACATTGTCATACCTGAAAAATTTCCAGTACCACAAGGATATATCATTCATCGTTTATAAGAAAATTTCCAAAAAGTCTGAGCCTTAAGCTGTAGAATATAGAGTATACCCAAGGCGATCAACAAAAGGCTTCAAGGCCATTATCTTCTTCTCCTTTATCCGAGGCAAAACATTGTCTATATAGAATTGTGCTGCTGCATATTTGGGAATGTTTTTGACTGTTCTTCTGCAGAGGATCAAGAAATAACTCAGTCAAAATCTTATCTAATATATAAAATGTGAGATTTTTTAATCAGATATATGTACACAAGCCACACCTGGTGACACAATAAACCCACAAGCTCACTTTTGATATCTTCAAATTAGTATATTATCAACAAACAAATTGAGTTGGAAACAAACCTTATACTAGAGAATAACTCTGCTTTGTCAGTGAACCAGTCAGGTATATCTCGAACAATTCGGACATCATCTTTCAAGTAATCAATGAAATGATCTACATCAAAAATGTCTTCAAATTTTCTGCAAAAGAAAGTCAACAGATTCAGTAAGCCATAAAGAAAAGAGAGAGACAGTACCTGACTCCTTTATCAATGTGTCATAACTCGAATACAAAGTAGTAGCAGTGGCTAGAATCTTAGAAGAGTATTTCAAGATGAAATGAAATCAATATCTGAGAATAAGCTCACGTTTGGTCTTTCCAAATTTGGTCCTGCTTTAGTACTGGCAGAATCAGAGTTGCATTCATAATCTTGGCAACAGCTACTGCATTACAGATCTGGAAACAAACACCATTAAAGGGCATAACTCAATCTCCCTAAATGTGAAATAAATAAAACAGGAGCCGTTTGCATATTGACCATTGTTGGACATTGGAAAGAGGAAAAAGGGAAATAAGCATGGAAGATACTTACAGCGATTCGCTGCTGATTCAAACCACCCTCAGCATGAATGAAAACATAACCATTCGTTTCGTTCTCAGGAGGAAGATCTGAAAACAAAAAGTCAATGAGATTTGCTAATAACCTCACATCAAACATAGCCCAAAATACTTAAAACTTTCACGAAAAGACAGCTCAAGGGCACAGGACAATGTCAATCCCTTAATACCTGAGATTCCACCAATCCGGCGCTCAGCGCAAGGCTTCCAAGAAGTAGTTGCAGACAAAGGATTCTCCCAAGGTGAAGGTGTCTCTTTTACCTACAAAATGCAAACAAAAACACAAAATCAATTTTGGAAATTCAAAAGCTTATGCATTCCACAAACACACATACCAAAGATTCAAACACTTACATGAGGACAGTTAAGCACAATACCATCTTTTTTACACAAATATGGTGCATTCTGCAGAAAAAAACAGATAGAGATTTAAAGAATCTTACTTTGAGAATAATGTAAATCCAATCCACTCAAAACCAAAACCCTATTACTTTCCCAAAATCAATTCAACAGTTTGAACACAAAGCACGAATCTGGGAATTTTTTTAGAAGATCTTAATTTGTTAGATCGAAAGAGAAAGACTTACCAAGTGATTAATAATCCCGTAAACGGAGATCAAGCTTGCAATGGCGAGAATCAATATCAAGAGAATCGATATTTTATTCTTCTGAGGAGAAACCCTAGGATCGTCTCCGAAGAAAGGAAAGAAAGAGTGAAACCCAGATACTGACCAGATCGGACGGTCTCGATCTCTCGAAGGATGACGTGGTCGACCATCTTCGTCGTCTCCGCCGCTAGGTGAGTGATCGTGTACGTGAGGCGACGAAGAGTCCTCATCTCCACGAAGCGGAGAGGAAGAAGATCGGCTCCCGACAGAGCTCGAGTGCCGCAACTCCGCCATTGCTCTCCTCGGGCTAAAAGTCGCCAGCTTTATCTACTCGAT